CAATTGGAGTGCAGCCTAAACCCTCATTAGCATAAAGCTGCGCATGCATAAACTGCAGGGTGGCGCAGGCAAGAAGCGCGAAAATGCTGGCAAGAAGAACCAGGAAGCAGGAAGCCGGCGCCATCTTGTAATGGCGGGAGCGGCTCCCGACACTTCCTCACAATGACTCACCTCATCTGTCTTGTTTTACTCTCCTTGTGATCATCTGAGTTATAACATGGCCTTACTTCCAACCTTGCATCAATATTTAATTTGCAACACCTACCAACATTTGTAATCTATGTTTGTCTTGAACCAGATCACAAATTCCAAAGCGTAGAACTGTGTTTTTTGTTTTGTTTTTCTGTAACAGGTTCATTATTCCCAACAGAGCTTGTTGCAACCATTTAGTGTATTTTTTAAATAAACAGTTATTGCTCATGGGGACAACTTCTTGGATGGTAAGCAGGCATTTTCCTACACTGCAGAAAGGAAAGTACATTTGATTTCCATGTTCCCATGGACTGTGACAGCCTAATGAATTTCTCAATGAATTCTAGCAAACTCTGGGTAATACAGGTTAATTATCTTCCTGTCTTCAGCAACTGAGCTCTGTCAAACCAATGGAAGAAATGTGGCATCTTCAGTGGGGTTTCTATGAAGAATCTATACACAGTTGTCACTGGCATTTTATGAGCTCTCAACCCATTATTTCTCTTCCCCCTTCCTCTCTTCCTCGTCTCTTGCTCTGTTTTTATCTCCCAGTTACTTTTGCCACATGAGCCTTATGCTTTTTTGTGTGTGTGTGTTCAGAAAAAAAAAAAAAAAAAAAAAAGCTCTCCTCATGTCTTACTTCTGGTCCCACATCCACAAACCCAACTCTTTCCAGAGAAGAAAACAAATTCTTTCCTTGTCTCAGGATTCATCCTGCTTACATCACAACAGGCCAATTGTCTTAATTACTGTTGTATTGTTGTAATGAAGAGCAAGGCAACTTATAAAAAAGATATTCAACAAGGGATTGATTACAGTTTCAGTAGGTGAATTTATGACCATCTTGGTGGGGAGCATCATGATAGACTGGCAGACAAAGTGTTACAGCAGTAGCTGAGAGCTTACATTTTATCCTTAAAACCAAGGCAGAGGGAGAGTGATACTGAGACTGGCATGGACTTTTCAAGCCTCAAAACCCACCCCCTGCTCCCATGACATACCTTCTCCAACAAAGCCACACCTCCTGTTTTTTTTTTTTTTCTAAACTGTCCACAAACTAGGGACCAAACACTCAAATATATGAGCTCATGGGGTTCACTTTCTTTCAAGCTCACACTGAAGGTTTCTTATTCTGTTCTGCCATGCTTGCTATGGCCAAAGCATACATATTCTTGTCCATATAGACACAGCCTCTGAACATTGCTGTTACAACATCTACCCCTCCAAACCCCCAAATTATCAGTGGCTCATCTTACTGATCGGAAGTTCCTACCTTCTTCACAAATCTTCCCATAAACACCCGGAGGGCATTGGCACTGTTTAGTCTGAGGATCACAGATGCCTCCATTCTGACAATTGCAGCTGCCCATGAACTCCTTTTTGCTGGCATCTGTGGAACAAAGCGTGAGTGAATTAGGAAAGGTGAATGTGTAATGGAACACCCTATCCATCACAGATGGAACCAGAAGGAGAGATGGTTTTTCTGTTAGGATAGCTATGAAGTATTTCAATTCTCAGTACCTTGCAGACTCAGGGTAAAACTCTGGCATAGTCCTAGTTCCTATGATTTAATCTCCCCTGGGGAAAGCACAGATGATACAGCTGGTTAAAATAATGATGACTAAAGGAAATGCTAACAAGGTTCAAATGCAAAACTGACCTTACTCCTTAAACTCTAACCCTTGCGGTCTCAACACTACCCACACACTTGCTGAATAAAGCTAAGCACTCTTCTTTTAAAAAATAATTTTAATTTTTTATATTAATCACAGGTTATTTACTTTGTATCCCAGCCATATCCCCCTCCGTCATTCCCTCCCAATCCCACCCTCCCTCAACTCCTCCCTGCCCCTTTCCAAGTCCACTGATACAGGAGGTCCTCCTCCCTTTCCATCTGACCCTACCTTATCAGGTATCTTCAGGACTGGCTGGAATGTCCTCCTCTGTGACCTATCAAGGCTGCTCTTCCCTCAGAGTGGGGGGGGGGAGGTCAAAGAACCAGCCACTGAGTTCATGTCAGAAATAGTCCCTGTTCCCCTTAATAGGGAACACACTTGGATACTGAGCTACCATAGGCTACATCCAAGCAGGGATTTTAGGTTATATCCATACAGGGTCCTTGGTTGAAACAGCCTCAGAAAAGACCTCTGTGCCCTGATATATTTGGTCCTTGTGGAGCTCTTGTTCTCTCCAGGTCATACTAACTCCCCCTTCTTTCATATGATTCCCTGCACTCTGCCCAAGGTTTGGTTTTGAGTCTCAGCATCTGCTTTGATACACTGCTAGGTAGAGTCTTTCTGAGGCCCTCTGCGGTAGGCTCCTGTCCTGTTACTTGTTTTCTCCTACTTCCAATATCCATCCCATTTGCCT